AAAGAGTGGGACTGCATTGGGAAAGACGGATAAGATGTCCTGTAAAATGGCCACAGGCTCTCTATGCAAATCTTTCCAGTTTTACTTTATTAGTCCTTGCGCACCTGCCTCTCATCCCCCCGCAAGGAGCATCAGCATTTCCTTTCTCGTTCCTTTTCACTTATGATCACCTCACAGCACTGCCTCTGAGAAAAAACAAAGCATTTGAAATTTATTTTTGGCCACATTGTATTCTCTCATAAGCCAAGAATGCAACTGAAATATGGATGTGAGAGTCTGATATGATGATGTAAGTGAAATTATGATGGATCACAGTGTAATGCAACAATTATTTAGTCCTAGACGACAACAAACAGAAATGGCTGTCCCCATCTTGCCATTCACTTTGGAGGTGATGTTTCTGAGGAGAGCCATTCAATGTTTGCTGTGGAGCAGGACTGAAAATCTAAGCTGGACAGTGATACATTGACAATGATAATACACTTAAGGCAGTCTAGCTACTGGGTAAATCAGGCAGCCCTGAAAATTATTTCAAAGTTCTACAGTTAGTTCAGAGGAATGAAAAAGTTGGTTTGGTGGTTTAGAGCAGGAATTTGAGATTTAAGAGTTCAATCAGAGCCATAGGAAGGAGTGTAGGTAAGAGCCGAGAGAACACACAGTATGGACTCTGTATTACTGTCAGAAGTAAAGCTCACAATGTACAGGCACTAGGACAGGATTTGATTTTCGCTCCCACTTCTGTAATGGATTTCTGTGTTCTTGTGCAAGACCCTTCCTTCCACTAAATAAAGACTGAGAATCTGATACATACTGGTCTCTGGGGATGGTGATTAGATTTGGGGCTAACTAAGCGGTTGGAAAGCCTGTTTGGAATCTGAGTGGAAAGATAGAGCACAGTTTCAAAAGGAAGAAAGCACCCTTTGATTTATGTCACTATATTTGGCCCATGCTGGGTTAAACCCCAGGAGTACACAAAACCCTAAAAGTGATCTGCCTGTTAGTTATAAACCTTCTACCTATTGCCTTTTGTTTTGTTGCAAGACTTGCAACTTGCCCCTAAGCTCCAGCCTAGCCACCGCATTCCTCACCATTGCTCATCTGTCTTCAAAATGCAGTTTGTCTGCAGGAGCAGAATGTGCTGCACAAGTTGCTTCCATTCAGACTGTATTTCGTCATTGTGCAGCACCTGAATTTCAATAGCCAGCAATGTATCAATGTTCTCAGAGAGCTGGAAATTGAGATTCAGGCTTGATCTCAAGGTAATAAACAAACTCCTGCTCTAGACACAGAGCTCCAGCACATTACAGATCCATGAGTATAGAGACCCAGACCTCACGATCTCTTGCTGTGCCCCCACATATGAAGGAATAGAACAGGAACAAACCTAGGATGAAACTCAAGTCTCACTTTGGAAGGTTTTGCCTTAGTTTCAATGCCCACTTTTCTCAGAAAAGCCAGGACTGGAGTTCTGGAGAGATGTATGATTGCATGCTTTGTGGTCCCAAGGCCAAAAAAATGTCCCCTAACACAGAGACACTACAGTAAAGGCACTGAGCCCTTATAGCAGCAGGAGGCAGCGGCAGCCTTCATCTGGCAGCTCAGGGTACTTCTACACTGTCAAGCAGACCCTTCACCTTCCCCATGCCTCCAGCCCATGGACCCCTTGATAAGCAAAGTACTGGAAATGGCCTTAAAGCTCTACATCACAACTAAATGTGATGTGTAGGTGCTGGTTACACACTTGTATGTACAGCTTGAATAAACAGTTCTTAAAGGCGCTTCTGTACCAGGGTCATGATCCTTTAACAAGGGGCAGAGCCAGAGGAGTGGGGGCACTGGGCAAGCTCCCCTTCCTAGATGGCAAAGCAGTGGCCACCATGTAGTGCAGCAGTCATATGGCTTCCTTATAAGCATGGGTGAAAAAATACATCCAGCGCTGGTGGGACATGCAGTTCAGCATGCTTTTTGCCTTCACAGTGAGCAGAGGCTCACATGCCCCTTCCACACGTTGTGCCCAGTCTAAGGGAAAAAGCACCAGCAGCTGCATCTTACAGCCCTCCCTACAGGCACAAATGCCAGAGGTGAATTCCACTGCACCCTCTTCACACAAGAGAAGGCTGACAAAATAAATGGACTTTTATAGTCACGCCTCGAAACAGGCTCTGCACTGCATGGACTGAGAGTTACAGCTGGGGGCAACACCTGCTGCTATTGCAGGAAACAGGGACATTGCCAGGGAAGGCACAATCAGCACTACCCAAGCAGAACTCGTCCAAGAAAAACTATTGTCTCCAAAACTTTAACAAAGTTCTCTGACTTTTTTTTTTGTGTGTGTGTGTCTCAATTTCTTTTATGGGTCCTGAGGCTGGCTGCCAGCACAGTGAGCTGCTCACAGCTCCCTCTAATTTCTGTAAGTGCCCTGTGATAAAGTGATGAGATTAACTCATCGAAATTCCAGCAGCCTTGCAGCGGCTGGCGGTCACATCACCAGCTCGGCTGCTGGTGCTGGGGGTTCGGAGAGAGCTTCCCCTCGCTGCAGCAGCTGGGGGTGCTGCAAGACCCTGCAGAAGAACGTCAGCACACAGGGGTGCACGGGGACAGGTCTGTATGCAAGTACAAAATTTGAGTCAAGTTTCTGTGTCGTGAACTGCAGAATATGTGACCCAGAAGGAAAAGGCAGAAAATGGGATAATCTAATAGACAAGGCCTTGCTTTGAACTCTTGCTTCCTAGAAGAGATTTCCTTGATTTAGACAATACACTCGATCTGAAAAAAACTGCTAGGACCTCACCAATGCCACAACACAAGATTTACCTAAAAAATGTCTTAAAAAAATAAAATGGTGGGTTAATAGTTTGGATTTGTTCTAAGCCTTCATGTGTCACCTTGGCAGTCAAGTCACTTCCTCTCTGTGTTCTAGTTTGCCCATGTGCAAAACGAAACAAGCACCAAACCTACCTTCTGGGGAGATCTTGAGTCTTGATTCATTAAGGTTTAACTGTACTTTAAAGCCTTTAGATGAGAGATGCTAAAAAACAGCCAGGGACTATTAAAATGATAGATCATGTTTTTTATGCTGGAGAACTGCAAAAATACCCTATTTCCTGTAAAATTAGACCTTTGACTGTTAAACAGTTTGGAACATAATTTCCAGTGCACACCTAATAGCATGCCAGAGTTTGGTCATTCAAGAGACTCCATCATCACCACACCTTCTAGAAGTGGAGACACTGGGGAAAGGAGAGTGACTCCCTGAGCTTGGGGAGCACAGTAAAGTCCCACACAGATCCTGCTTAAGTTGTGGAGAGGGCTCCTCAGGGGAGCTGAGCTCAGAATTAGCACATCGCCAAGAGCACAAGCCATTCCCTGTTTACTGATACCCCCTTTCTATAAAGCCCTTCTACAAGGAAACTCAGGAAAGATTAGATAGAAGTAGTCGAGAAAGCGATGAGAGCTAAAACATTTTCAGCTTCTGTTTTCTGAGGAAAAAGCCCCCCCACCCTCATCTTTCCTCTTTTTATGGTTTCTTAATTGCTTTTCACTATTCTTTCCCTCTCCTCTCCATTCCTTGCACACTCTGTCCTGCAGTGCACTGCTGCATACAGACCTCTCATGCCTTTCTTTGGGTGATTCAGAGAGCCACATGACTGCAGCTTTACACGAATTTCAGGGAAAATATCAGATTCATACATGTCTGCTATTAAGTTCCAAATGTCATTCATTCAAGTCATGTCTGTCACCCCAGTGATGTGACACAGTATGCTACAGTTGTGACCAACGGTGTGGTGCCAGTCTCTGCCAGCCCGCTGGGGCCAGAGGCTTGAGGGCAGGGATTCCCCAGGAAATCCACCTCATGGGTACCTCAGCTCATGCGTTTGTTTCCTTTTATCTGAATTTTTCCAACAGTTGTTACACTGCCCTCCGGGTTTGTTTTGGAAAATCTCGTAGCCTTAGGAAGGTCTCATCAGGCGGTCAGTATAATGCCTCCATGGTACAGCTGCTCTGCGTGACTTGGACAGTCGGCAGGAGAAAGCAACCTGACTTTGCGATAAGCCACTACCTTGACGCTTTCATTTCAGCACCCACAGGCTTTTGTCCTGAATCCTTTCTATTTCTGATTCTAAACATAACAGATATTTGAGTGTCTCAGTGAAAAGAGACCTGGAAACCGTACAAAGGTCCTCAGTCAGTGCAGTGCCAAGCCAGCAGATCTCCTGCCCTCAGCAGGCACCAGTCTGACCTCCTGCACCAGGATGGGGAACACCGATAACACTGCATGGGAGTGGATTCTCTATTACTTTCCACTTAAACTGGCCCTCCTAACTGAGGCATCGTAGCCTGAGTCCTGGTGTGAGGAGAGGTAATTCATGAAAATCAGAGGAACATCTCTCCAATGACCTGCACAAGGTAAGATGGGTTATTTTTTAAACCAGTTTTCAAAGAAAGGGATTC